GATTTTTGGTCACCCATCCAATGACCGACCATTGCGAAAGTTGTTTAACTTCAACGATCGCAGCCGTATGCTCTAGCCATCTAAGCAATCGTGGTCCTCCATCCTGGATCAACTGAGAGAATTAAATATCCGTAAATGCATAGCTTAATTTCCGGATCTATTAAGAAAATAATTCTCACTAGATCCATAATGGATCTAACCTGTGGATCTAATGGGAATGATCGACACAACAGCCATAAAGCCTGAATCGCTCTGTATAACACAAGTTATTATCCAGCATGGATCGAGCCAATGGATCAACTGAGAGAAAAAAAACTCCGTAGACGCATAGCTTGAAATCTGGATCTATTAAGAAAATAATTCTCACTAGATCCATAATGGATCTAACCTGTGGATCTACTGGTAATGATCGAAACAACAGCCATTAAGCTTGAATCGCTCTTAAAAAGAAAAATAACTTGTGTTATACAGATAACACAAGTTATTTTTCAGCATAGATCCAGCCAATGAATCAACTGAGAGATAAAAACTCCGTAGACGCATAGCTTGAAATCCGGATCTATTAAGAAAATAATTTTCACTAGATCCATAATGGATCTAACCTGTGGATCTAATGGGAATGATCGACACAACAGCCATAAAGCCTGAATCGCTCTGTAATACACATGTTATTATCCAGCATGGATCAAGCCAATGGATCAACTGAGAGAAAAAAACTCCGTATATTCAATTCAATTCAAATTGTTTATTACAGACAACAAAATGGTCCATCAAATCGTTAGTAACAATATTTAACTTAAATGCTATGTTAGTATATATTATTTCTAGGATTCAATCGATGTGTTTTTTTAAATACTGAAATTGTATTATATATAATATAAAAAGAAATCTAAACCAAATGTCAAGCTATATGCATAGCTTGAAATCCGGATCTATTAAGAAAATAATTCTCACTAGATCCGTAATGGATGAAACCTGTGGATCTAATGGGAATGATCGACACAACAGCCATAAAGTTTGAATCGCCCTATATGAGACAACTTATTTGTTTTTACTAGTAAGGAAAAATATCTTTACAAGTGGGTATAATCGGAGTAATTCTCGGTGGATGCGTCCAAGTGCGTAGTTGGCGTAAGGTGCATGTTCCACAGTCGGCTACGAAGCCATACTCGAGTTAATAAGGTCCAACTGGCAGTAGGGTATAATCTTGAAGGTCCAATGGGCACTTAAAAAGAGGTCCAATGGGCACATTGAATATAAAATTTTTAAGGAGGTCCAATGGGAACCAAAAAAGAGGTCCAATGGCACATTGAATATAAAATGTTTTAAGAAGGTCTAATGGACACCAAAAAAGAGGTACAATGGGCACTTTTTGCTTTTGGGCCGAATCTTGAGGGTCCAATGGGTACTAGACCGAAAAAGTAACATTTTATGCTTCACTAGTGGCCCGCCCTCGCTTCGCTTCGGTATTTTATCCCCTAGGGGATAGAATTGATCAAAATCCTTTCTTAGCGAATGTCTACGTCATAACATCTACCTGCATGCCAAATTTCAGCCCGATCCGCCAGTGGTTTGGGCTGGACGTTGATAGATCACTATGTCAGCCAGTCAGTCACCTTTGAGTTTTATATATATACTAGCAAACCAGTGAAATAAATTAATTCACCAATTAAAAAAAAAATGTATTTAATTAATTGAGAGCTTCGGAGATTTTGTGTGGTTTCGTTTGAAATTCGTGATTTCTCGAAAACCGGAAGTGCTACGCTACTCAAATCCGGTTTGTAGTCTTATCAGACTATTCTTAACTTATAACTTAAACATTCTCTTTATCTATCTCTTACGGTTTGGCCGCTGAAACAGCACCACAGACGAACGGACGGACGGACGGACTTGTCTAATAGATAAGAGATATATAGATTAAATCACGTGTTTAGGAAGGCCAAAGGGAGGATCTTTCTCGGAGCTGGGTGATGGTAGCTCGGGCGCCGCGGCCCGACTGTGTTATCCTCCCGTCGCTTGCGTGATGTAGGCTTTTGTGAACGCAGCGCGTGTAGTGCCATGTCTTGAGGAGGCGAGCTTAGATAAAAACAAAAAGGGTAGATACGGTACTCTCATACTTGCATCAAACAAAAACTGATCCCACTTTACTACATATGCAACACTCACACATCCACCTGTTTGTAAAGATACAATCGAACGAACGAAACAGCAATTTAAGTTTCAACGGCCGCTCGAACGTGACGGCGAGATCCGCGTCACTGCATTACCGACCCGAACGAAACAGCACGTTAAGTTTCAACAGTAGTGCGAACGAGACGGCGAGATCCGCGTCACTACACTACCGACCAATCATGCCACCAGTACTACCGAATAAGATTCAAAACAAACAGCAATTTTTATAAAAAAATATATTTTATAGTGCTTACGAATGAAAAGTGATGCCGTGGGTTTTATTTTTAGTTCTTGAGCAATTTGAGCACTTTTTAAAAACACACTTAGGCATTTTTTTATCATATAAACACAAAATATTAGCAATATTTCTTTTTGGCGTTCACATGTACGTCGTTTGCATGTCAAGTTGTGACTAAAGCGATTGTGGTCTTGGGCCACAATTTATGCGGATCACTTTTGTGAGGCTAGTGCCGTATCTACCCTTTTTGTTTTATTTTAATATAAGGAGGCGAGTGAGTATTTCCTCAATGTTAGTTATATGAAGGGTATGTAGACGTCGCCGCCACACTTGTTTTTTTTTTGTTTTTTTTCTGTGCAATGGATTGTGATTTGCGAACGAGAACAAGAGGGTGGGACACCCCCTGGTCAAGGAATCCGTCATACAAAGGAGAATTGTCTCAATGTCAAACTCAATGGTAGTCCAACCTTCATCTTGACTCCGCCGTCACTCAACATCAGTGTTGTTTCCTCTTCTCAGTATTTATGAAACACTAGTGACCCGCCCTCGCTTCGCTTCGGTGTAGAGCTGTAGTGTAGACTATAGTTTTTGTTCTCAGGCTTGTGCTATAAACAATGACTTTATTTATATAATTACACGTGTTATTGTGAGTCAACCATAAAAGATAGACATATGCTGTTGCGGGATATTTTTTAGACAATTTTATGTAGAATATTTCCGTCATACATGATTTCTATGTAACTTTAACCATTAAGGCTGCACACGCGACGGAAGCTTAAAAAATTGTAGCGTGATGAAAAGTATACTATAACCTGCTCAGGAGTATGAAGAATAATTGTACCAAGTTTCATTAAAATCCGTCGAGTAGTTTTTGTTTCTATAAGGAACATACACACAGACAGACAGACCAAAATTTGACTGATTGCATTTTTGGCATCAGTATCTATCACTAATCACCCCCTGATAGTTATTTTGAAAATATATTTCATGTACAGAATTGACCTCTCTACAGATTTATTATAAGTATAGATTATAGCTATTAACGAGATTGTTACCATGTACCTTGATTTTTATGAGTCTCCGATATTTCGGCACTGTTGCAAGCGCCATGATCACGGAGTAACTGAAGTAATTGCGGGTAGATGTTATTGGCAGACATATCGGTCTACCCTCTGACGTGACGTAGTCTGTCATTGCGCTCGATACCCCAACCACTGGTCACAAGTAATGTTAGTGGCCATGAAAGTTTAAAAATTTAAGTACGTAAACATTTTCAGACTAGGGATAATGAGAGGAAAACCTTTTTGTTTCGTCTATAAGGTAGATTGTAAAAAGTATTGGGCTCCTATTAGGTATAATAAATTTTTATGTCAATTGTCTGTCACTACTCGCTTCTCGCTAAGCATCATCAGTGGAACAACTGCCTTATCCGGCATCTTTGGAAGTGTTCTGCCCCTCAGTCCAGTTTCAGCGGGTTTTTATAACTCTCCAATGTCGTCCTTAAGGGTTAATAGTTTTACGATGTCGTACGGTCGGCTGATATACGAGTAATGTGCTCCTCTGAAAGTACGCGCCTACATAGCGACTCGTTTGTAAGTCACTAGATCGGAGGACAGTGTTAAAACATTTATTATCTTTTGGCCTGCGCTTGATTGTATTTCGTTTTGGATAATCTTCTGTTTTGTTTAATTTAATCACTTTATTGTATGGATTGAGGAGCTCGATGGCGCAAGTGGTTAGCGCGTCCGGCTGCGATCGTTGAACTTGAGCAACTTTCGCAGTGGTCGGTCATTGGATGAGTGACCAAAAATTACTATCTCGAGTTCCTCCGTGCTTCGGAAGGCACGTTAAGCCGTTGGTCCTGGTTGCATCTGCAATCGTTAGCACCCACCAATCCGCACTGGGCCCGCGTGGTGGGTCATGGCCCAATCTCCCTATTCCATCCATAGGGAAGGCCTGTGCCCCAGCAGTGGGGACATTAATAGGCTGATGATGATGATGATGGATTGAGTAGAATACGTTAGGGTAAATGTGGAGGATTTTACAATAAAAGAAAATTTAAGGAGATTATTTCAATGGGAAAAACGTTAGTCGTTTCTCTTACCAATCTTCTAATTGATTGGATTGTATTTTGTGTGTAAAATGTTAGATTTATTCCATATTTGTTTGACGTACCCCTATGTTGTAGTTGTACCCTGTTCAATTATATAAACGGTCTTCAGTCGTTTCATTTTTTCTTTCTACTATTTTCATTTATTGCGTCGCCTCTCGTTTTAAATGTAAAATTTCCACTCATATGCAAAACGTATATCGTGTTGTAGTTGTACCTTATTTGTGTGTCGTGCGTACCCACTTAATTATGCAAAGTAAACGATCTTCAAACTTTTCCTTTCTACTTTTATTTTGAACCGGTGCCACTTTTTTTAAATGTAAAATTTGTCTCACATGTGCATAACGTACCCCGTGCTCTAGCTGTACCTTATTTGTGTGTCGTACTTACCAATTCAAATTAGCAAAGTAAACGGTCCTCGCACCCTTTACACAGCGTTGTACCTCCGTACCAGCACCTAACGGCACTTTTGCACTGTAGTACGGAGTGGCGGCGACGTCGTGTGCCGCCTCGAACGGCCACCACCAGGCTGACAGGCGGCACCATCACCACACGCACCACCAGCACGCAGACGTCCCACCACAATGGGTGAGAATAAGTGATTTGGCGCGCTTTTTTGTGCCAGTGTGTACCTTTAGCGTTCACTGTGTGTGCCGTGTACCATTTTGTGTTGCTTTTGTACCTTTGTAATATTATTTTTTAGGCTGTTGTAGTATCGAAGAGTTCTGTGTTGCTTTCCTTATTTTTTTGTGTGAGTAGTCCTGTGTATCACATTATCACGCGATATTTTGGTTTTATCAATTTTTATATCACGTTTTCTTACGTATTCTTTTCACCTTCACTGTTTTTGTATGTTTCAGCTGTTTTTTCGTGTACCCTATTTGTTTAAAATAGTTGCATTACTAGTATCTCTAGCGTTCTTACTATGTGTGCCGTATACTATTTTGTATTGCTATTGTACCTTTGTAATATCATTCTTTAATCTTAGTACCGAAGAGTTATGTGTTGTTTACCTTGTCTGTTTGTATCGTTTTGTGTATCACAATCCGAATGCGATATTCTGGTTTTATCGGTTTTTTAAATCACGTTTTGTTAAGTAGTCTTTTCATCTGCAGTTTTTTTGTGTGTCTGTTGTGTTTTTTTTATTCTAATGGGTATAGTGTACGGAGTGTACCCTATTTGTGTACCCTGTTCTTAGAAAGTTGGCGTGTTACTAGTTAAGCCACTTGCTACAAGATTCGCTTGACTGCTTCTTTCAGTAATATGCGTTTTTTTTATTTCAATTGTGCTGTTTCTCTTGAAGTCGTTTATTCAATTGACAATTATGAATGTGAAGATATGATAAAGAACGCACATCCAGGAAATTCCTGTTTATACCAGATTTGAATTCGCCATTCTATATTCAGGTAGGTCAATTTTACTGTACGAGAGCACCGTTTAAATAAATTTAATAATTTTCTGTGTTCATTTGTATAGGCTGAGTAAAGTTTCATTTTTCTACGGTTTTACCGTGAAGAGGTAACAGACAGACAGACTCACTAACGCGTTTATAATGTTAGTATGTATGGATGAAGACAAAACCAGACTGTTGTAGTTAAAAAAACGACGGGTTGCACTCCGGGAGTGGCAGAAGTGAAAACTTGAATATTAACATTGTGCATTTTTGATATTTTGGAATGGTTAGAGAATTATTTTGCACGAATTGCTTTAATTATCAGTATAAAAGTACTATCATGTAGAATACAATATTATTTATTGCGCTATCGTACACGAACATGACAATTTAATTTATATTACATTAGAAAAGTTTATCTCTTAGAAAAATCAACTTACATGAATCACGTTTAAGCGCACTTAGCGACATCTATTCTAACGAAATCAACTTACATGAATCACATTTAAGCACACCTAGCGACATCTATTGTAAAAAAAATGCATTTTCTTCGCAATAAAGCTGCCACGTGGACGACCTAAATAGAAACTTATTATTGTAATACGATAAAATAAAATATTACTATTTTACTATGTTTCGTCCAATATATTTAAAGTCAAGTTTACCCATACAAAAAAATTGTACAATGCCGCTAAAGAAGTTTTCACTTCAAAAATGAATAAACAAATACTTACTAGCCAGATAAAACTGTTAAGTTGCGAAATGAAACCTATCGTGTTAGGATAGAGATACCGCACGTATTGCTATTTCATTCAACCTTGATCGCCGGTCTTTAGTACGTGAAGTTAATATTATTGATTATTACCAGTACGTAAATATTTAATTACTAAAATAATGTGTGTCCAATGTATAGAAGAACAATTTGTTACCATAAATACATATTTACTTGGCCCCGCTCTGATATCATAGAAGCAAGCACGAGTTTCTGACAGGTCCGTAACGTCAAAATTTCTATGAACACCAAGCAGCGCCCTCTACCGGTCGTAAGAACAAACTACCTTATCTAATAATAAGGTGGGTGTAACTTCCACAGAAGGATGATCTAATCTCTACTAACATTTTAAATGCAAAAGTGTGTCTGTCTGTCCGACGTTTAAATCGGCGTAGAGATATTTTAAGTCCCGGTAAAGGACAAGAGTGAGGAGCTCGATGGCGCAAGTCGTTAGCGCATTCGGCTGCGATCGTTGAAGTTAAGCAACTTTCGCAGTGGTCGGTCATTGGATGGGTGACCAAAAATTTACTATCTTGAGATCCTCCGTGCTTCGGAAGGCACGTTAAGCCGTTGGTCCCGGCTGCATATGCAGTCGTTAGCACCCGCCAATCCGCACTGGGCCCGCGTGGTGGGTCATGGCCCAATCTCCCTATTCCATCCATAGGGAAAGCCTGTGCCCCAGCAGTGGGGACATTAATAGGCTGATGATGAAAGGACAAGATATTTTTTATCCTAGATCTCAACCCTTGTGGGAATGAAAAGGGGTTGAATTTTGTTGAACTAAATAAGTTCGAAGCCGCCTTTTAGCACGAAGTTCAAGCCTACAAGCACTCGACTATACGATACGTGTCCTGTTATTGTTGAAATTCCGGAAGTGTAGCACATTATCATTGAGCACGTATTACATTATTCATAAACAATACACTTAAGTGTCAATTACAATGTGGGAGTGGATCCCCTTGAATAAAAATCGGCACTTCCCAAATATGATCTGACGAAAAAAACGAAATAATCTTTATATATATAATTCTTCTGTGAGTGTGTATGTCACTGAACTTCTCTTAAACGACTGGATCGATTTTGATGAAATTTTTTGTGTGTGTTCAAGGGGATCTGAGAATGGTTTAGATTCACAATTTTGTCCGCTGGACAACCCCTATTTTTTTAGGGCGGTACGAAGTTCGCTGGGTCAGCTAGTATATTTATATATATCTAAATATATATAAATAAATTATTTCGAGGAGAGAGAGGAGCTCGATGGCGCAAGTGGTTAGCGCGTTCGGCTGCGATCGTTGAAGTTAAGCAACTTTCTCGAGCTCCTCCGTGCTTCGGAAGGCACGTTAAGCCGTTGGTCTCGGCTGCATCTGCAGTCGTTAGCACCCACCAATCCGCACTGGGCCCGCGCGGTGGGTCCTGGCCCAATCTCCCTATTCCATCCATAGGGAAGGCCTGTGCCCCAGCAGTGGGGACATTAATAGGCTGATGATGATGATGATATATCTTAATATATATATAAATTACGCGTCACGTTGTTTGTCCGGGATGGACTCCTAAACTACTAAACCGATGTTAATCAAATTTGCACACCGTGTGCAGTATGATCCAACTTGAAAGATAGGACATCTCAATATATAGTCGCAATATTATTTTATAGTAAACTAGCGGCCCGCCCTCGCTTCGCATCGGTGTAGAGCTGAAGTGTAGACTACAGTTTTTGTTCTTGTATTATACACAACTAGCAAACCAGTGAACCAAATGTTCACCAAAACCTGATTTCTCGAAAACCGGAAGTGCTACGTTACTCAAATCCGGTTTGTAGTCTTATCAGACTATTCTTAACTTATAACTTATATATTCTCTTTATCTATCTCTTACGGTTTGGCCGCTGAAACAGCACCACAGACAGACGGACGGACTTGTCTAATAGATAAGAGATGACATTCATCTATGATTCTTCTTATACTACCTGCATGCAAAGTCTCAGCCCGATCGGTTTAAAATTGACAAAGTTTCATACAAACTTTCATTCCCTATTTTATCCCCTTGGGGGTAGAATTGATCAAAATCCTTTCTTAGCGGATGCCTACGTCATAACATCTACCTGCACGCCAAATTTCAGCCCGATCCGTCCAGTGGTTTGGGCTGTGCGTTGATAGATCACTATGTCAGGCAGTCACGTTTGAGTTTTATATATATAGATTATTACTTTTGGGCGGTACGAAGTTCGCCGAATAAAGGTTTCTCAGGTAACTCATAGGTCTCAGGGAAGTTAGCAAGGGCGGATCCAGCTTTGGCGCCAGGGGGGGGGGGGGGGTCATATAGTCGTGGTATATTAAATATTGAAAGTACTTAAATAAAATCCCCCTGGGTTTGGTCCATCTGTACCCAGCCCAGGGGGGTTCATGATCCGCCCTTGGAAGTAAGCTCCCCACTTTTTAAATTTTATTATTATCCCGGTTTTGTTCTATGTTTGTTCTACATTGTTCCATAGTTTAATTTGAAAAAACAAAAATTTGACGCTAAAAATGATTAATTACCCTTCCTTTCGGCTTCACCGCATTAGTCGGGTAAAAAGTCACGTGTTAAAAACCGTGTTCAGCGTATGGAAGGTACTTATAGACTTTGCGAAAACCTTATATAAAACTAGCTTTTGCCCGCGACTTCGTCTGCGTGTAATTCGAATAAAAGCAAGGTCTTTATGTATCAATAACTGGTGCCCGCGACTTCGTGTGCGCAGTATTAGTATTTCGAGTAGCTTATATTAGCGTGTAATTTTTATTGTATTTATGGTTCACTATTTTGACAATAATGGCTTACTCATAAAAGATAGATATATATGGTGTCGCAGAATTTTTTGTAGGACTATTTAAGATAAATATTTTCACCATACATTATATACATGTAGCACTAACTGTTTTTGCAGCACACGCCTGAATAGCTCGCAGATTGCAGAATTTTTTCAGACTTAAATGACATTTATCGTTATATTTTGGACAATTCACACAATATCTTTATAAATTATAGCCTATGTGTTATTCTGATCTATAAGCTACATTACTGTAAAGTTTCATTAAAATCCGTTTAGTAGTTTTTGCGTGAAAGAGGAACAAACATCCATCCATACATCCATCCAAACAAACTTTCGCCTTTATAATATTAGTAAGGATTTGTTTATATCTATCTATCTATAGTACCTGTATCATAAGATTTTAATGTTTTTGTCACGTTGTAATTATTTTTTTATCAAACTAGTCTTTATTGGAAAGAAGTTTTATTTTGGACGGTATGGCGGATGGGGGTCTAGGCGAAAATTTACCTACGAGGTTACAAGCCACTAGCTAGAGTAGCGCGGGTGGTTAGCGCGTGCGGCTGCGATCGTTGAAGTTAAGCAACTTTCGCAGTGGTCGGTCATTGGATGGGTGA